GGCATGCGAGCTGCGAGGACTCTGCAGAGCGTTTGCAGCGTCTCACTGCGCGGGAGGCACTTGTGAGTCTGGGTTTGAGCTACTCGGGTCTTGGCATGTTTTGGCTTGGACGCTTGGGCCCTGGGGTTGGCAAATGACACCACCAAGCAGCCGAGATTTCAGCCGGAACGCGGATCCCGCTAGCCAGGGCCTGCCAGGGTGCTGTTCGTACCCGACGAGACCATCTAGACCTCAGGGTTGTTCGCATGTTTTTTTTTAAATATAACTTTTTTTGTGGTCCAGTTGTTCTGCAAGACGATGCACGTTTGTTACGGGCACTTCCCCAATCATGACCTCACCCACTACGAATGGTAAACTCTTGGCTTACGTACTAGCTCATGGAGAATGTCGTGACACACAAGCTGAGCAGTAATTAGTTCGAGTCGATATTTGGTGATTGAGGCTGGGATGGTGCAGCCGTCGGATGTGAGAGGACAGGGCCCATCAAAAAGCTTGTTGCGCTTCTACCGTTAGCTTCTGCCTGGCAGGCTTTTCCAAGGGCGCTTATGCGAACGCACGGGCTCATGACACTCCCGTGAGCTCAGAGAAGATCCTTTTGGGCCCTTCGGCCCAAACTTCGGCCCGCGCTTCGGGCGTTGCCTTCACCTGGGCCGCATCGCCTGGCAGCGGCCAGGCGGACGCACCCAGCGAGCGTAGCGAGCGCAGCGACTCGCACGCAAGCCGCCCAAGCCGGCCAAGCCCCAGCCGACTTCTGCCTGTGTCCCACTCCAGCTCCCCATCGTCTGTCACCAGTTTCCCGCTTGCACATTCGCACATCCCTTTGCAGCGGAAGGCTCCCGTGCTTTTCTTGTCGAGGGTTCTGTCGCACCAACGTTGGCTCTGCAGGTGCTCCCGGCCGGAGAGGCATTGCAGAGGCCCACAGGGCTCGGGCGGGTGACGTGCGACAGGTCTGTTCAGAGACCTTTGCCGAGGGCAAGTTCTGTTGAGCTCCAGCTCCCGCCGCCGCCTCGCAGTTCCCCGGCCGGGGCCCCCAACTAAGTCGCTGCCCCCGCGGAGCGTAGCGTAGAGAGAGCCCAGACTGCAGGCACGGGATGTCTCCGAGCTTCACCCTGCAGATCTCAAGCTCACAGCAGCTTCTCTCAAAAGAAACCCGTGAAAAAGGCACGGTTTCAGGGACTTGCCGGCGTGCTTTGGGATCTTAGGTCCTGACATCGGACAGTCGCTGGGAAACCTTGCCGGGCTCCCGTGAGAGAAGGGAGACGGAGCCTGCCTTGTGGCCGCGGCCTGCGAGGATGTTCCGCTCCGGCGACTTCGAGAAACAGGCAGCGGCTAGCATGGCTAGCCCATGCTAGCCCCCCCCCCCGATGTGCCAGGCTTTGGAGTTCCTGAGGGAGAAGAAGCTCAAGGCCGTGTCTGCCCCGGTGAAAGCAGGGTCTCGCTGGCGGATATCAGATATCCATGTTTTCGCAGTTTTGGCTCTTGGTGAGCTTAGTGATGAGAGCCCGCTTGGTCTTGGTTTTCGCGGCTCACCATGTTCATAGAAGGCAAGGCCGGCAAGGCAGTGGGAAGTGGCTGAGCTTGTCATTCTCCCAGCGAGGCTGTGCAACACGCGATCTGCACAACGCTTCATCCATTCTCGCTTGCCGCCACCTCTGCCACTGTTGATCCAGCCGTGTCCGAGCTGAAAGAGAGTGGTCCAGCAAGCGCCAATCCGCATCAAATGCTCATCGGTCTGTAGGCAGAACGACACTGAGTCACGTTCGCAATCTCTTTGAATGTCGTGTGCCTTCGTGGACCCGCATGCTGGGGTGCAGGACCCTTCAGATTGCTCTGTTATATTGATGGCATTGGTTGCGATGAGATGTAAACAGGTAACGAGTAACCATGACAAACGACGAAATGCTTGACAAGACGAATCATAGCCAATGAACAGGGCCACAGCACATCCCTGCAAACTCGCTGCCGCAAGCAACTGGACCAACTGCACCACGTGTACGTATCTGACCGCCTGGCTTTTTCTGCAGTTGAGGACTTCTGAACACTTAAAAGCAACTGCTGCCGACTCACTGCTTTACACAACAGCGTATATACTCCGAGGTATGTTCTGTTCCACTCCGTCTTCGTCTTTCTCCTCTGCGAGTCTCTGGTGCGGGTATGGGACTTGATGCAGGCGTGCCAGGTAGTGTTTTGCTTTTTGGGAAATTCTCGGCTGAGACAGACACCCCGTTTCTTAGAAGCTTTGTATTTGCAGGCAAGCAACTGGCTTGATCCATCGAGCTTCCGATGTGGGGGCACTGCTATCCGTGGTGCACCGGGGGCCATCATGAGACCCTTACGCTGGATGGCTTTGGCCTGCCCTCCTGTCACCATCATAACTTCTCTGGTGACACTTCGCCACTTGTGGCGCCATCATGTTGCAAAAGAGCGAACCTTCGACAAGAGTCTGCGCTGGTATCCTTCGCACTCGCATGACCTAGCCATGCAAGTTGCTACCATGCCGCTGTACGCATCTCAGAGACAGAGACGGAGTGCGGCTGCACACTTTGACATGTCCTGAGCTGCCACAGAGCTTCGCATCAGGATTTACGGCGTCTTTGCGCTGGACTGCGTGATTCAAATGTTGCTGCTTCTAACCGGGAGCGTTTTCCGGGAGTTCAAGAGCGTGGATGTCTCCAAAGAGCAGCTTCGCCATCTGACGCAGGCAGGGGGGGGAGCCATATTGACATCATGTGACCGCAGAGCCTGAAGACTGTTGGATGTCGCAGGAGCGCTATGGGACGAATTTGGAGTTGGCGGACCTCTACGAAGCCTGGGCATTGTACAACTTTGGCCGATTGTGCCTCATGCGAGTTCGCCGGCAGATCCGTTCCCAGCTTGGCCTTAAGGGCGCGCATGTCCTGTCGCACATCCGGTCGAACGGAGAGCTTTTCCCTCGCTGTTTCTTCCCCTACTTTTGGGGGTCGTCAGTCCTAAGGTCAGGAGATCCCACTGCTGCGACGGTCTTTGACCATGCCGGAGAGCGAGCATGCAAAGCTGCTCGGCGCTGGCATTGGCAAAGAGCTGAAGCGAACCCCCCGTATCTCTGCGCTCTCTCTCTCTCTCTCTCTCTCTCAAGGTTGCTGATCTTCCGGGACCCCGAGCGCTTCCTGTTCCGGCCTTTGGAGGTGACCACCGGCATCGGCCACTCGGACCCACGCCCAAGCAACACCGCACAGAGCGAGTACCGTCTTCTGTGCTCTCCTCTTGCTCTGACTCGCCTCACTAGCCGAGGTGTGAAGATCTTCGTGTACACTTGCGCCGTGAAGTCTTTGACGCATGGCATTCGAACCTGCTGAACTCAGAACTCAAAGTCACCTCATGTCGCGTGAGGATTGGTAGTTGGGTCTAATATGGGGGGGGTGTGCAATTTGCATTGTTTACGGGGGATGGTGCGGCAGGCCGTGCTTTGGGCTGCACTCTCGGATCTGCATTATGTGAGGTTTGCGTTGACCATCACCTTCTTTGCCGATGCACCGTTTCACATCAATTTGAGCGAGACAGTGCCGTGGGCCTTGCAGCTGCTTCCGCACATGGATGGAGCCGCTTTCATGACCTCCACCATAGACCCTTGGACCTTGGAGACAGCACAAACTCTAAAGGACTTCAGCTGGTTTCTGAGTCTTTTGCTCTTTGCCTTGTGTTTTCTTTGTTTGTTTGGAGGGGTGGGGTGTGGTGCTCTGGTGTCGCCTCCCGGCCCACGCTTTGGCTGAGGCGATCTTGAGTTTGATTGCCATCGAGCACGGTTTCCATGAGATCCTGCAGCTGCAAGGCTTCGCTCCGGTTCTCAAGTTCCTCGGAGTGAAGGCAAGGAGGGTCTCAAAGGATGACTTCAGTCGGTTGCCAACCCCTATAAGTCGCTCCACACCGCCCGAAAGTCGCATACAGTATCCATCCCGCGTCGTCCCTTGCGGAAATACGTATTGTCAGCCCATACAATGACAACGTCTTTCAGATGCTAGTTTATGCAGCGTCACACTGGGGTTTCGTGTTTTCGTGCTATGTGTATTTGTGAACGATCCGATTGTTTCATGTGGAATCGATTGTCCACCTGGGGACAGGCTGCTTTTGATGTGTTGTGATGCCACTGATCTGTGTCTAGAGTAGTTGCCTGTGGAATCGAGCGTCTACATGGGAAATGGCAGGTTTCGATGTGCTGTGAATACGGATGATCACTTATGTGACACGATCGGTGTCTTGTGGGTCGAGCATCTACATGGATGTTTGTATTCATACAGGCACACTTTTCACGTCTTTTTCAGGTCGGACAAGCGTTACGGTGACGACATCACCACGTTACGCAGCAGTAGCATCAGTAGCAAGTGATTGCAAGGATCGCAGACATGTCATGGCAGTTGACACGTGTTGGATAAGGGAACCTGGGTCCCTGCAATGTTTGTGCGGGTTTTTAAGCTTCATGCTTTACGTGCATCTGCGGTCACCCTGTGCGGCAAAGAGTTTTTTCCTTGGTAGAAATTCACCAACCAAAGAAGCACTTAACGTGTTTGTGTCTGTGGGCATGGAGTGCTTTTGCTTCCGGCAGCAGGCCTTGGTCACCATCACATGTTTGCAAACTCTGGTCATGGGTCTCGTGATGCAGCGGGGCCTGTTGCGGTCCGACGAGGCGAGCCTTTGCTACGCTTGCCTCCTTTGTTTCGAAGTCCTGCCGCTAGCCCTGTTGACTGCGGAAGCCTGGAAACCCCGCTATGCGGGCGACTGGTACGATGCTGATTGTGGATGGGGCGAAGGCAACGGCCATTTGGGCCGCCTTGCGGGGGAAGGCGACTGGGCCGAATCCTACGCTGTGCTGCCTGGGGCCCGGCTCTCGGCTGCGGTCTCAAGGGCTTCTTTTATTCGACAAGAGGACCCCCGAACATGAACATGCTACACGCTACATCATGGTAGGTAATTACATGACTATACATGTCATATTTCACTCCTCAGCCATTATGCAAAATGCACTGATCAGGACTCCAAAGTCGAAGAGATTGGGTCCTCCGAGCTCGTTCGCTGGAACTCGTTCTGTGAGCTCAAGCGAGTTTGGTGATTCTTGACCGATTGCAAAGTCATCGTGCAGCATGTTTCCCATCGCGTGTGGACTTTTCACAGCTGTTAGCAGCAGCTTTTGCACAGATTCGTGCAAGTTTCCCATGGACATAAAAGTTGAAAAAAAAACTCGCAGACCGCACCTTTCAATGAGTGGATGTGCGTGTGAGTTTTTCACTGTCTCCGTGGGCCAGGCGGCCTTCGTCGGAGGCACGTGGGGGCGGGGGGGGGGGGCTATGCTTGCAACC